TCCCTATCGACAGAAGTTAACGCTTCTATGGGTATACTTTCTCGTCTCTTTCGTAGCAGCCACTGTGCTCATACTCACGGTTGAACACTTTCTGTATTCGGCCCTCTGGTTTATTTATTAAATCGTTGCTTTTTTTTTTTTTAGTACTGCAAATTTCTATCATTCTAGCGGCTAGAGTCTAGCCGTTCCCTCGCTTTTCGCTCGTTTCTCCATCCGTTTGTCTCACTCCGTGTCTCTTCCGTTTCGATTCTTCCAGGACACGTTCTTTCATCTCCCCGCTATATCAGGAACATTGTGCGTATTTCGTCTACGATCGACAAAAATTCCATGTATTTTCTTTTTCACCATCGTGTGTGCATTCTTTCGCCCTGTCTTCCTGGGCTTTCCTTCTTTTTTTAGTTTTCTGTCTCTCGGTGCGTTGCGATTATTATACAACACACCCCTCACGGCTCGATAAGTCTCTGGTTCTTGGAATATTGACACCGTGTGTTTTTTTGACATTGTGTTTCGGAGGACGACGGAGGAAACGAGACACACGACGCGCTCGAAAATGAAACGTGTGACAACCGCGGTTTTGGCTTTCTCGCGAATACAGGAGTTCGCTTGGCTTTCTGTCGATTGTTCTTCTCTGTACGTCTATCTACGGGCCCTCTACCGATATCAATGTATACGTGTTTCGATAAATAGTACATTACGCCCACACACTTGTAAACTAGGACACGCACAAAAAACGAGAACACCACCCTTACTGAAGCACCGGTTATGTATTTTATCCTTTCTTTCTTTTCCTTTCTTTCAATATATATATATATGCATAGACGTGTATATACAGTGGGTGACAAAAGTATTCGCACACAATTGAAAACGGAACAACTTTTTTTGAAATTTGTCCAAGTGACTTGAGTTCTTTTGTGAAGTTCGGAATATTAGTTTACTACATGGTGTGTAAAAAAGAATATTTTTGAAAAGGTTGTAATTGGTCGGAATCGCGAAGGAAATAATAGAGATCGATTTTACGAATTTTAATCTGAGGCTGTAATGAAAATTTAATAATATATATCAAGGATTTATGTCAGTTGTATGTACAGTGAAACTTTCATTGAAATCGGTTGATGAAAGCTTTAACGTGATTATAGCAAATTTATTGTCAATTCTTTTTTTTGCATGATTTTTCAAGGTCACCTTCAATTTTCTTTCAAAAATTCAATTAAACAAAAAAGTAACACATGCTGTTATGATACTTACCGAATTCGTCTTGAAATGATCTAACAGATAGGCGTAAAAAGATTATAGGTGTATTTGCAAAATATTGAAGGTGACCTTTAAAAAAATTAAAAAAAAAAGAGTTGACAAAAAATTTGCTATAATCACGTTAAAGCTCTCTTGTAACTCTTGTCTCAAATGAAAAAGTTGTAAAAAGCAATCTCTACTATTTTCTTCGCGATTCCGACCATTTGGAACTGTTTCAAAATTTTTGTACACCTCATTTAGTAAACTAATGTTCCTAACTTCACAAAAGAACTCAAGTCACTTTTACCAATTTTAAAAACGTTGTTCTCTTTCAAAGGGTGTCCGAATACTTTTGTTACCCACTGTACGTGTAACATATTAGCCAGTAGAGTGTGTATACGTAAAAAAAGATAAGTATTAGTCGGGTGAGTGCGCTCTAAAAACATTGTGCTACACCCACTTTTTTTTCGTCCCGAAACAACCAGAGTAACGAAGAAGAAGTGACAGGACAAATGTGTGCATATCGCCCGCGCCAAAGCAAGTTTCTTAGGTGGGGTGTAAGGGGTCTTAGGGGTGGGGGTGTGAAACGTACTTAAAGACTAAGAGGACGAGAACCACCCCTCGTTCGTGTCTCCCGATGAACGGTCGTTCCATCCCTCTCATACTCCCGCAACCCCCACTCGTACTCCCTTCTCATTCGATTTATCTCACTCTCTCCCTCTCTCATTCTTTCGTTCTCTCTCATTAGACTTAGTCGCGCAATTAAGGCACCCTCGTTACGTCTATCTCGGTTCTTTCTTTCTCCTCGAAGGAATCCGCGACGAGAAACCCTCTCCGCTCGTTAGGCTGTTAGGTGTTAGACGAATGGAGTGTACCCAGCGGAAGTCGGTGAACCGTGGGGGTGAGGCGGGACCAATCGTTTTCCAAACGTACGAACATTAAATGTCGAAAGTCAGAAGTATGTTTTCAATTTTCAATTCATTCTATCGGCGTGAAATTGTAAATCTTCTTTTCGGAAATTGTGAATCCGTTGTTGTGAAATTGTGAATCTTTTTATGAAATTGTCATACTTTAAAAACGAGGTATTAGTGTCACTTGGAATTAGTTTCTTGTTGTTCTCCCGAGAATCTACCTTGTTTTCGATACTTGTGGGCACATTTTTTCGCGACGATAGGATATGCAGTAAATTCTCGATTATTGTCTGACGGCTACTCGGCACTGACAAGAAAAGATCCCCAGGTGTAACGTTGACTTTTTAACGAAGTTCAGCACAGTGATAGAGCTTCTATCACAGCGATCACCTGACTTCTTAACTGTTCTACCTCTATTTTCAAAAAAACGTCCGTTAATCAATCCATCTGCTTGTCATTGATTCACCATAACATAACAAAATTTTTTCTAAAAATGGTACCCAACAGATTCTTGGTACTTTTATAGCCTATCGACAGTTCGTTAATTTTTCTTTACGATTGCATTCGGTGCCTACCCAACGATCACCGTGAAATACCAAAGCTCAAGAAGATACGATCCGTTGCCGCGATTGTTAGTACGAATCGTTGCAGCGTTAGTGCGATACAGAGACCCAGGAAAAGGTACCTGTGTGTCTACCCGAGTGCCTACGTACCAGAAAAAGTGTACCCTCACGAGTAAACTCGGATTCCACTAGGAGCAAAATTGACGAAGGGAAAGGGCCTCCCGCCATTTGATAAATTTATTTCAACAACTGATATAAATGTTAATTTGGTGTGCATTCCAATAATTCCCAAGTGATAGGAGGCCCTTTCCTTACGTTACTTTTTTCCCTAGTTGAAGCCGAGTTTGCTCGTCAGTGTACACACATTGTGAAGTGGAACAGAAGCCAAGGAGAAAGAAAGAATCGACAAGTAGACGCGAATGTGTCGAGGGTGTTGCGCGCTGCTCGATTAATCCGTAGATACTTACTGGCAACGCCGGAGGCATTCGGGTCCTTGTGGGTGTGCTTCATGTGCTCCATAAGAGCCTCGCCGCCTAGGAAGAGCTTGTGGCAGACTGGGCAGCTGGTTGCGTTCGGTCCGCCGATCAGGGCGGCGTGTTGCTGGAACACAACACGCTGTTGCAACTCCTTTTTTGCGTGGGCCCGGGAAGAAGAAGAACCGGAAGCAGGCACACGCGGGGGCGCACACCGGTAGAGGAGAGCGCAGCCGACCCACAGAATACCACCACAGAGTGTCGCGAACCAGAAGCACGGGACAGGCAGCGCACAGAACAGAACGATTGACCAGTGAGAGTTAGGGCACCGATTTGCCGCCTCCACCACGGACTATTAAATTTCTCATTTCTTTTTTTTTTTTTCTAGTATTTCTTTATTTTTCTAGTGATTGTTTTTTTCTTTTTCGTTTGCAAAAGGGAATTCGCCTCGAGTGTCTGGTAAGGAGCTTCCGGGGGTTTTCGTCACTCTCGACGCGTTGAACAACAAAATTCGAAGATTTTAGCGACACACTTGAGCAGGCGGTGATTGTACCGATTGAATTTTTGGAAAATACTGGGCACTTTTTGCCTGACTTTCTTCTGGTTTTTGTGGTGTTTGTATCATTTTTTGTGGACATTGCAACTGTCGATTTAGTAGACAGATTGAATACTGATTACATGTACTTGATCTGGTGTTACGATACTGGTTGTATAACTTTTAAGTTTATTTCATAACTCGTGAAGGTAATCTGTCGAGATTAGTGAATCGGTAGATTTCTGTGTTTGATCGTTTAAGGATTGTTTGCATTTAAATATCTGATTGTCTAAAATTCGGTATAGTAAAAGAATTCAGAAAAATTCTCCAGGTTTTCTTTTTATTTCAATCCTAATGGAATCCTTAGCAGGGTAAATAAATTGTTCTTTGCGTCCAGTTTGGAGAAATTGATCAATGAAATTCTATATTTGTATAAATATCCACAATCTATTCATGACGAAGAGATCTACAGCATCGACTGCTCAAGTGTTAATCGTTGAACTTGAAACCCGTATCGCAAAGGGTACAAAGCTTATTGTTCTATAAACATAATGTAAGTTTCCAAATTGTTCGACTGATTCGACTATTAATATTCATATGAATAATTATAGACTCGTAGAAATGTCTACTCAAATGTTGCTTGACACAACTCGACCGACAATGATATCGATCAACACAATGATTCCTAAGGATCCTCATTTCGTGTTCAACGCGTAAATCGAGATCGAGTCTTTCTCAGGGACAGAGGCGTCGAAGCTAAGGATTAATGGTCCAGAAGGGAAATGGAGAGTGGTCCGTTTTCGTTATCACAGAAAGGAGACAGTCGATAAAGTACAAGACTTATTTCAGTGGAATTGTTACAATAGAAGGATGTAACCAGGACGGAGAAAGCGAAGCCCAGACAGACGATTGTATAAAAGCGTGAGATTTAAAGATCGATCGGGACCAAACACAAAAAATCTTGTATACATCTGCCTCCATGTTAGCGCAAAGAAAGAACAGCTTTGCTAGTGAATCATGAATCTCCGAACGATCTTTTCGAACCTCACAAAATTTGAACGGTATTGCGAAGCATAGATCACAAACTAACTACTACGACACATATACGATGACCTCTGTTGCTGATGTCCTCTGTTAAAATAAGATTACCAAGCCTCGACTGGGATTCGTCGATCGGTCGAATCGTCGCAACAAAGGTCAATCGTCGAACAGGTAAAAATATGATGTGATATGAACGAAATCTGACGTCCTCGTTGAAAAGTATCTGTCTCTGTCATTTTGGGTAGTGACCTCGTGTTTTAAGGAACCGTTTTTTTTTCTTCCCGACCGTCGTGTACGTATTTTCGATCTACTACTACATTTTTTTCCCTTCATTCTCGCTCTGTATCTCTTTTTCTCTATCCCCCCTCTCTCTTTCTTATTTATTCGTCTCTGCGTTTCTTTCCCACTCCCTCCCCTTCAATCTTCTCTCTGTCTCACGTGCACGTCGCGAAGGTCGGTTTATATACGCACACCGAAGTAGGCGGTAGGGGCACGCGGCCGAGGGAAAAACATGGTGGCCAACCTTGCTCGAAAGAGTGCTTAAAACGGCGGGAAAAAGAATACGAGGAGAGAGAGAGAGAGAGAGAGAGAGAGAAGAACGAAAGAAGGAGTGTAGGTTAGGTGAGAGGAAGGAAAGGCTAAAACGAGACCCAGACGGCAATGACCCGAAAGTTTTTGGGGTCTTCGTTCGCCTCGTTTCTCTTTCTTCCTGCCTACTCCTCCCCCTCCCCCGACTTTGATGCAAACGCATACTTCTTCTCCTTTTTCTTCCTCTCCTTCCTCCATCTCTTCTCCTTTTTCATCGCACGGCCGCGCGCGAGCGGTTCTTCTATCCCTTTCTCCCACATCCTCTATTCCCCTCTACACGCCCGCGTTGCCCTCCCCCTTTTCCCGCCAGAAACCGGGAGAGTTCTCTCTCGTGCCCTTCTTTTTCGTCCCCCTCCGGACCTGGGACAACCGCGAGCAACTTGAGGCGATCAACGAACGAAGGAGAGCCGAATCTCGGGCAGGACCAGTTTAAAATAAGACCAGACGTCGTCGACCTTACGTTCCGGCCACCGCCAGTTCCCTCTGGCAGTCCTCTTCTTTCGATTCGCCTTTCCCCACCTTGCTTCTTCTTCTTCATCATCTTCCCCCCTCGACGGAAGAATTTCGTGTATTTTTAGCGATCGTGCCGTGTCACCCTCCGTCTTCCACCTCCCTCCAACGCTAGATCACAGGGATTTTTCCGTCTGCCAATAGGCGATCATCATCATCCAGACCAGCAGGAGGACAGAGAGAAAGAGTTCGTGGTACCCCCGAGGTCAGCCGTTTCCGCGGTTTCTTTTTCTCTACGGCGTTGTATATATTTTATCCGAGCGTCCAAGGTCCCCGGAGGTTTATTTTCTCGACCCAGCCTCCTTTTGTCCGCCTCGAACTTCCTTGACCCAGGACACCGGGCGGATGATGTCAGGGAAGAAAGAAGGAGAAAAAGAAGCTGCCTAACCGGCCGAAAATAGTGTTGCGTGGCCATTGAACGATGCATCCTCTAGCGTCAATGTACCCTACGTTGTTTAGATGGTCCTTGCCCTCCTTCGTGTTTCTCATCCTCTTCTTTTTCCCCCAAGGGAACCCCACACTTGCTCGAACGCCCACGCACCGCCGCTCCCTCTGCTGGGTTCTTCCTTGCTTCTCGAGGTTAGACGATATTCTTTTCAAGGCGGTGTTGTCCTCCCTCCTTTTCCCCCCCTCGTTTTCGCCTCTACCCAGGCCCGTTCTTCTTTCATCCCGGACCTGGGGTAAGCTCGAGCCGGTTGAGGCCGCCGAAGACGGTGGAAACACGTCGACGGTTCGGTCGTCTGCTCCTCTGTTGCCTCCACGGCTGCATGCAAGTTATTCTCGGAGGGAGGCTGCCGCTGCGGTCCGCGTAGGTTCGACGCCCCGACCTGGCCCAACTGGAAAAAACCGGTTTCTTCGTTGCGCTCTTCCTTTTTTGCCTGCATCCTCGCTTTTTGCACCGCGAATACCACGGGACTACTCTCTAACCCTGCTCTCGCCGCTCTTTCTCTTCTTCTACATCGGCCGTACTCCCCCCCCCTCTGCCACCCCCTTCTTGGTTCCTTCAGCTTCTCCTAGGTCCCCCACGCCTCCCCCTTCTCGTCATTCTTTCTCCGTTCCTCTCGTGTTGCATGCTAGCTAGAGAGTGGATGCAGCGTGGGCGAATCCCCTGGGGGGGACTTTATGATTCGCCGTGACCAGATTTATCTTTCTCTCTTTCTCTAATCTGCGCTCTCGAGAGGACTACGGGAGGACGATGCCCGACCACCGCCTTCTATTCCTAATTCTACGCTTCCTGGTCCCATCCACAACGGACCCAATCGTCTAGTTCAGGGCTACCGGTGTCTACCTCACCTGGGCCAGAATCAGGGGATCCTTTTATGTCCCTCATAATAGTTCCTTTTCTTTTTTCTTCTTCATTGTATGCTTCTCTGCCAATCGGAGCAGTGATCGTTGACGGTTGCCCTCGGAAGGAGGATCGATATTGGTTTCGTTAATGTCTTCTTTTTTTTTTTTTTTGTTTTGTTAGTAGTTATTTATGATCGTCGTTTTTGCCTAGTCGATGACTCGCGGAGCGTTCAGAAGCAGACCCCGGGACCAGGGAGTGGCGTGAAAAGGAAGTGGGTGTGAGCACACGCGAACCGGTGCGTGACGTTGGGCTCGATGGAGCCATTTTGTGTTCACGGAAAGGGACCCATCTTTGATCGAGAATTCGGTTGCGGTTTATCGAAAAATGCGACTTGCTTTTGCTCCGGTTAGAAATGTTTTTAGATGAGCGTCACTTAACACGTTTACTGCCACAGTGAAAACGGCCGTACGTAGTCAGACACGCTTTAATTCGTTTTTTAAGCCAGAAATCGTCGAAAATGTGTGCGTTTAGTTAATGGAGGTTGTTGGCCATGTTTGAAATTATACTGCGGTGTTAATTTTACGCAAATATTTTGACGTGGCAGTCAAAGTGTTAAATGCGAAACTGTACAGAGTGTTCTTTTCTTACACGTTCGATGTATTGTTCACCTTCAGATTCTATTGTAAAAACGGATGCAAAGAATCGTAGTATCTAAATCACTTTATATTTTCCTTTTTCTTTCAACTATTACTTCAACGTTGCTTTAGATTTTATTGTAAAAAATTACCTAAACAATCGTTGTATCTGAATCACTTTATATTTTCCTATTTTTTCATCAATAACTCTAACACTGATTTTAACAATAAGATTAGCCAAACGTTCGAAATTTCGCCACAAACACAACATTGCCGATTATACACGTAATACGGAATCTAACGAATATAGAAAAAAGCATTCTGTATTTTCGATTGGAAATCCATATCCGTCTCGGAGGAATTAATCATCGTGTCACAAATTTTGTCGAACCACTTTCCATCGTTTTCTCAGCTTCGTTCTTTCATCATAAAATTATATTTATTTCTTCTGGTCTCGATGAAAAGCTCCCCGCGAAAAAAAATAATGCCTCGAACGCGGCAGCCTCTCTTTTCTCCGGAGCAAAAGCGATAAACTCCCGAAGGTCGTTTCTCGCGGCGCGCAATTCTTTTCGCGTCATTTCACTCTTTTTTTTCTCCTCTTTTTCTCTCTCTCTCTCTCTTATCTCTCCTCTTCCCCCGCCGTTGCCTTTCCTTGGCTCTCTTTTAGCCGCAACGAGGCCGCGAGCCTCGCCGGCAGACAACCTTCGCGTCCGTACAACAAACCAAGAGCCCGCGAAAGATATCCAAGTCTTTTGCTCCTTTATCCTCGGTTTCTTTTTGGCCAGCGTGTCGCCTCCTTTCGCAACTGGGGGCCCTGAAGAATTCTCTTGGTTTTCTTCGTTTTTTATTTTAATCGTGGAACGTCACGTTTGCACTCGCGAACACGTTTTTCGCGCGGATAGAAAGGAGAAGCAGAGCCTTGGAAAGTGACGTTCTTTATTTTTCTAGAAGACATCTCGGCAGGGTTAATTCTTTTCGTTTCCAATTCATTTTTCCCTTGACCTCCTCGAAGCGAGGTACTTTTTATTCCTGTATTTTCGACATCC